GGCTGGTGAAGATGAGATGAAAGTCCGCGCGCAGAAATTTCACGAGGGTGACGACATTGACGATTACTATGGTGACGGCGGTGGCGATGATGTCATCAAGGATTGATCGACGGGGTGAACCAGAAGGCCTCTCGGTAATGAATAACCCCACTGACGTGTGCGGCTGGCTCTAGCGCAATCCACTGCTGGGGGCACAGGCCGACAACAACGATGATTATGATGATGTGGGCGACGATGGTAATGATGACCCTGGTAATCATGACAACGATTGCGCAGATGAGGATGGTGAGGAACTGCGCATCTGGCAGGAACTCGGGATTCCTGCCAGATGCGCACGCGGAACAACTGCGCTGTCGCATGTTGTTGAACACCTCGGTGTTAAACGAACTGGACCACAAAGTATGGTTCTGGGCCGGTTTCAACGAGCGCGTGCGCGGAAACGCGCACGCGGGGTCCCCATGCTATCATATCGCTAACTTGGCGGGCGGGCGATGTGTGTGTGTGTTGAACATGTCCAATCTGGGCAATTCGTGTGGCCAAGACATCTGGTTCTCGGACGAATTCACCGAGTGCTCGCGCGCAGAAAGCCGACAACCTGCAATGACGAAGCCTTGCGTTAGCTTCTGATGGTTTTGCCAGGCGCGCGCGGCGGCGCGCACCTGTGCCCCAGGTAATCTGTGTTTCGAGGGGCTCTTCGGAAACACGCTTCTTAGATCAGCGCATCCGCACCGCAGAATACGATTTGACAGGGATAGGGGGGCGATGCCCGACATGGCTGACATGGTAGGCGAAGATATTGAAAAGGACGGGTCGTACGGGACAACTGTGGCAGCACACAGTTACGATAGCCCGCGTGGCAGTCCAGAAAAAAAGGAAAACTAGCACGCGTGTCAGAAGGAACAGTGATTGAAAATCCTCACTGGGTTCGTGGATCTCTCAGGTTCAAGTCGTTGGGACGAGGACGCCGACGACGACGGGACCCCTGACTCTCCGTGGCTTCCTGGTCATAACTCGGCTCTCTGGCAGCCGTTCTGGACGATCAAGGCACCCCTGGAACGCACGCGCGGCGAGGCGCAGCTGCTGGAACGCCTCCCGAGGCGGAACAACCGCCGAGAACCGACGAAGCCGTCCAAGACGTCCGCAAGCTTAGAGCCTCGAAGCCACGCGGTGTGGTCACCACATGGTCTGGGGCCCCCCCGAGGAATTGACGTCTGGGCCCGTCGCAAGCGCCTCCGGGCGCTCCGCCACGGGCCCGCGGCGCCGCAGCAGCTCGCCACTGGCCGACAGGGGCGGCGCCGCGGGCCGCAGCAACACCTCGCCCTCGCCGTGCCGCTCGGCGTGCTCGGCCTCTCCGTGATCGGAGGATGGTTGAGGGGAGGAGGAGGAGGAGGAGGAGGAGGAGGAGGAGGGAGGGAATGAGGAGGAGGAGGAGGAGGAGGACCAGTGTAAACCCAAGAGCGGCCCAAGAGTCATCAACGAGGTTGGAATAAACCCTCCCTCCAAGCTCCCTCTCCATAGGCTCCTACGACGATTCATCTCCACTGAGGGAACTGCCTCGTCGGAAAACAACCGTTTGAAGTTTCTGAAGCATGCCCAAACATTGTTCTCGGGATCCCAACGCCACGGATCAACCATATTCTTGCGTCTTGACGAGCTTTAATGGCGCCAAAACGCCGTTCCTGGCACTTATACACCGCGACTTTGCGCCCGCGTAATCCTGTTTTTCCCAAAACGGGATTTCTGGTACGTTGATCATGGGAATCCGTGAAGCTAGCTCCTGTAAGTAGTATAAACGAATGTGCGCGGCCCTAAAGCGAGAACAACATTTTGAAAGGGAGCAGCCCTCAATCCGCGAAGCCCTTGCAACTCTGTAACTAATGTGCGCGGCGCTAAGGCGAGAGCCACACTTTGAAAAAAGAGCAGCCCTCAAGTCGTGGAACTCTTGCAACTTGTATAACGAATGTGCGCGGCGCTGAGGCGAGAAATACAGTTTGAAAAGGAACCGCCCTCAAGCAGCGAAGTTCTTGTAAGTTTGTAAAACGAATGTACGCGGCGCTGAGGCGAGAGCCACAATTTGAAAACCACCCGTCCTCAATCCCTGAAGCCCGTGCAAATGTGTTAAACGAATGCGCGCGGCGCTAAGGCGAGAGCTACACGTTAAAAAGGACCCGCCCTCAACATGTGAAGTCCTTGAAAATGTGTAAAACGAATGTGCGCGGCGCTAGGGCGAGAGTCACATTTTGAAAAGGAGCCGTCCTCAATCAGTGGAACTCTTGCGCTTTTTAAAACGGATGTGCGCGGCACTGAGGCGAGAGCCACACATTGAAACCACCCGCCCTTCATCTGTGAAACTGTTGGCAATGTTTAAATATCAGGGTCATAGATGGGGAGGAAATCTCAGGCGAAACGCCCAGCAGTTCAAACAACTGGCCTCGGGGTGCGACAGGAGGAAATTATTTGTAAGGACAAGGAATGGAGGGAGGAGGAGGATGCTTAGGAGGAGGAGGAGGAAGAGGAGGAGGAGGAGGAAGAGGAGGAGGAAAAAGAGGTTGAGGAGGAGGCTCAAGCTATTGTGGCTGAAATCATATTGGCTCAAAGAAAAGGACTAGGATCAAGTCGAGCGCAGGCACTGCCTGGCCGCCTCCCTCCTCACCCGCCCGTTGCCCACCCCATTTCGCACATTCCTCCCGCCCTTCCGCGCAATGGCATGGGCCCTTGTCCAGCGCCGCGGCCGCAGGCGCGGGCGCCCCGACCAGGAGCTCGCGCAGCAGCTCCTCATGAGCCTCCTCGGGAGCAGCTGCCACAGCGCCGCGCGGAGTGGCGCTACCCCTGCGGCGCTACCAAATTCGAAAACCGCAAGGCTTGCCGCCAATGCGGCGCCGCCCGCGCCGGGGCCAGGGCGAGCTGCCCGCCCCCACTGGCGGTTGCCGAAGGCGGCGCGGGCGAAACCTGGCCAGCATTGCAGGGCCGCGAGAGGGGCCCTAGCAGAGGCCTTCCGCCAGGTGGCCGCGGCGGCCAGGCGCGCTGGGGCTCTGGCTGCGGCCGTCGACGAGCCGCCCCTGGCGGAAGAGCAGGCCGCGTGGCAGCGGCAGGCGGAACTCAGCGGCGACAACCGCCTCGGCGGCCTGAGGGCGGCGGCGGAGGAGGCGGCGGCAGCGACGCACGCAGCAGCGGAGGCGCTGGAGACCGCACAGCTCCGCCTCGAGGACGCCCGCGAGAACGTGGCCGCCGCCGAAACCGCGGCTCGCGCGGAGGAAGCGGCGCAGCGGGCGGGGGCGGCGGCGCGGGCGGCCGCAGCCGACGCGGAGCCCCCGGAGCTGGCGCGGGCCGCGCGCGAGCCATTTGACAGGCTGGAAAGCTGGGCCTGGGAACACGCGCGGGAGCCGCTGCTAGCGGCGATGGCCTGGCAACCGCGGCAGAGCCGGCCCCCGAACCCGACCTGGACGACGCACTCGGCGAAGCCCGGGACGAGAGAGGCGCGGACCTCCAGGACGAGGACGGGGACGACGACTGCAAGGAAAACGCCATCCTCGAAGAGCTCGACCCAACAGCGGAGGTGGACGACACGACCCTCCTCCAGGGGGTTCGACGGGAGGCGGCCGCCGCCCGCCGCCCGACCGCGGGTCGACCGCCCGCCCGGGCCTCAGGCGCTCGCAGCCGCAGCCGCTGAGGCGACGCTGCGGCTACGTTAGCGTGCGGTCGGCGAAGCCAACAATCTGGGCTCTGGCGGCCGCGGGGGCTCCGCAAACTTTACCGCGCTACCACGACCCGTTCCGCGCAACGCGGATGCTTCCCGGGGAGGCCTGCGCGGCCTGCCGCACGGGGGCCAGAGGCGGCTTGCTGCAACACCCCGACACCTGCGATGCGCTGCTCTGTCGCGGCTGCGCGGACGCCGCCGCGGGCGCCGCCGCCGCCGCGTTGCCTGGCGCAGCGACCGCGGCCGGCGCCGCGCTGGCTCCAAAGCCCGCCGCGCCCACCTCTGGCGCTGCCCCCGCGGCCCTGGGCCCGGCGGCTGCTGGCGGCGACCCTGGGCAGAGCGCGCCAGCGGGACTTGGACCAGCCGCGGCGCCAGCTGCGCCCGCCGCCGGGGCGCCGGGGCCGCCGCTGCAGCCTCTTCACGCGGCGGAGTGCTGAGCTGGACCGGGCTCGCTCAACTTGCTGGACGAGCTAGCGGCGGACTGCCCCGCATTCCGTTTCTTGCCCGGTGGGGCGCGGGCCGCGGCCGCGCAGGCCACGGCCCTCTGCAGAGCGGCGCTGCGCGCGCCGCGCGGCAGCCTGGCGGAGGAAACTTCTAGGCCCCGCCGAAACGGAGCCCTGGCGGCAGACGCCAACTTGGGAACGAGCTGGCTGTGCAGGCCGGGCTGACCCGGCAACGGTGTTCTCTGCGCCGCAGAGGCGCCCGGGCAGAGCTGGTGGCGGAGGCGCGACAAACCGCCCAGGCCGTGGCGCGCCAGCGCGCAGGGAGGCCGCTGGAGGGCGCCCACGATGTAGCGATTAATCGAGGTTGCTTCTCCATCAGGGCGCCACATGCCTCGCCGCCCGTCAAAGCCCCAGTCCCATGTGTGGCCTCCGTTGATTCCAGCCACCCGCTGATCATAGAGGTGGCGGGAGATGTCAGCAGGCAGGGATCACCATGTGACATTCCGCTATTGGACGCGATCTCCACGATAGGAACCGTATGCTCTGCAACTCTACCCGCGCTGTGCTCTGTAGCAGCAGTGGGGTCGTGCAGTGGAAGGTCGTGCATCTGCAGTGCCATGCAGGCACAGAGGTTTGCGAGTACACGCGTTGAAGGGGGCAACAACGAAGCAGCTCGAGCCTGATGCGGCAGCAGGCGATGATGCTTGTGATGGTAGTGGCGACGGCGGTGGTGATGATGGTGCAAATGGCGATGGATGCGTTTTGTCCTCAAACATCTTGCGGAACAGGTTGCGGTTGTGGTAGAAACTAGCTCCAGCCGAGGAACACCCAAGCAGAGACATCCTCAAATAAATATGGTGGTCCAGCCCGTTTCGCCTGAGACAACCTCACAACTCTCGTTCCTGAGTTGGCCTGGATTGGTTGTTTCGCCTGAGACAGCCTCCCAGTTCTAAGCTTCGAGACGCCGCGCGCGACGTGGTCCGGCGCATTTCGCCTGAGACATCCTGGCAACTCTGGGCTCCGAAATGTTGCGCGAGAGGAGGTCGGGCGCGTTTCGCCTGAGACATCCTCACAACGCTGGGCTCCGAAATGCCACGAGCGAGGTGGTTCGAGTCTTTTCGCCGAAAACATCCTCTCAATTTGAACTCCGCGATGGTGCGTGCGAGGTGGTCTGGCATGTTTCGCCTGAGACATCCGCGCAACTCTGGTCTTCGAGGGGCCGCGCGAGAGGTGTTTGGACGCGACTCGCCTGAGACATACGCGCATTTCTCGGCTTTGAAATGCCGCGCGCGAGACTCGCAACTCTGGTCTTCGCGATGCCGCGCGGGAGGTCGTCCAGTCCGAATCGCCTGAAACATCCTTGCGAATCTGGGCTCTGAGATGCTGCGCGCGAGGTGGTCCAGCCCGTTTCCCTTGAGACATCCTAGCAACTCTGGGCTCCAAGACTCCGCGCAGGAGGTGGCCTGGCGTGTTTCGCCGGAGACATCCTCACAACTATAAGCTCCGAGGTGCCGCGCGCGAGGTGTTCCGAGTCGCTTCGCCTGAACATACTCCCACTTCTGCGCTCCAAACTGCCGCGCGCGGGGTGGTCCAGCACGTTTCGCCTGAGATATCCTCACAACTTTGAACTCCAAGATGCCGCGCGCGAGGTGGTCTGGCATGTTTCGCCCGAGACATTCTTGCAACTCCGAGCTCCAAGACGCCGCGCGCGAGGTGGTCCAGCGCGTTTCGCCCGAGACATCCTTGCAGCTGCAGGCTTCGAGATGCCGTGCGCGAGACGGTATGGCCCGTTTCGCCTGAGGCATCCTCGTAGCCCTGTGCTTCGAGATTCCACGCGACAGCTCCCGCGTGGCATCTCCCCAGGTAGACCGGGCCGTCCTTCTCCACGACATCCTCACACCTCTGGGCTCTGGGAAGACTGGCGCGAGGGTGTTCCAGCGCGCCTCGCCTCCGGCACCTCGCACCTCTGGGTTCCGGCACGCTGCGCGCTTCGACGTCACAACTGGGCTCCGAGAGGGAGAGGGGAGAAGACCCCAACGAACCATTTGAATGAGTCTCTGCTGTCTGATTTTGCTCTGGGAGAAGTCTGGGCGCCGCCCGGTCCTTCCCCGCGTGCCCCGCGAGGGATGGTCCAGCGCGCTTCGCCTGAGACATGCTCGCAACTCTGCGCTCCGAGATGCCGCGCGCGAGATTGTCTGGCCCGTTTCGCCGCAGACATTCTTGCAACTCAGGGCTCCAAGACGCCGCGCGCGAGGTGGTCCGGCGCGTCTCGCCCGAGGCATCCTCCCAACTCTGGGCTCCGACATGCTGCTTGCAAGATGGTCCAGCGCGTTTCGCCTGAGACATCTTCGAACATTTGGGCTCCTAGAGGGAGGAGGGAGGAGAGAGGGAGGAGGGATTAGACCCAAACGAACCATTTGATTCTACTTCTGCTGTCGATTTGTGCTCTGCGAGGTGTCTGGGCGCCGCGTGGTCCATCCTCACAGCTCTGAGCTCCCAGCGATTTCGCGCGCGACTGGTGCCGCGCGAGAGGTGGTCCAGCCCGTTCCTCGCAACTCTGGGCACCGAGGGAATCTGCGCGAGCTGGTCTGGCCCATCTCGCCCGAGACACCCTCGCGAGTCCGGGCTCCGAAACGCTGCGCGCGAGGTTGTCTGGCCCGTGTCGCATGAGGCATCCCCGCAGATCTGGCCCCCGCCTGGGAGAAGGGGAGGAGGGGTCAGACCCTGTGCTCGGACTGCTCTCGTGGAGGGGCCTGGGCGACCCGGGCCCGACGACGGAGGCAGCCGGTGCTGACACGCGCGCGCGCGACGTCTTGGTAGAGGCCCAGAACAGGATTCTCGGGGGGGGGTCATGCTTGAGCAAATCGTGGAGATGCCTCGAGCGAGAGCGCGGTGAGAAGGGAGAGGAGGCGGGATGGGGCAGGAGAAAAAGGGGGGGACAGGAGTAATGGGCGAGAGGGACGGGAGCAGGCCCAAACTACATATTCGAGGGCATCCATGGCGAGGCTGCCTCCTGAAAGCGGCATCGAATGTGGGAAGGCATCCTTGGCATGGCGGAGGACACGGTGAAGAGGAGGAACGAGGAGGAAAAGGAGGAGGAGGAGGCGGAGGAGGAGAAGGAGAAGGAGAAGGGGGAGGAAACTGACAGGAAGGACGATGACAAAAGGGGAGAAAGAGGAGGAGGAGGAGGAGGACGAGGACGAGGACGAGGAGGAGGAGGGGGAGGAGGCAGAGTAGGAGGAGGAGGAGGATTGCGAGGAGGAAGATTGCGAGGAGGAGCAGGGGAACGAGGAGGAGCAGGAGCATGAGGAAGAGGAGCTCTGCGAGGAGGAGGAGGGGTGCACGGACAGGCCAACTGAACCGAAAGACTGCCCACGAGGCTGTTGGACTGACCAAAAGGACCTCGAAAGGAGCGGAAAAAGGTCGCACGATGCAGTACGAGGATTACAAGGAGGAGCACGGCGAGCAGAGAGGAGCAGGAGGAGGAGAAGGAGGAAAAAGAAAATTAGGAGTGCGATGAGAAGGTAGAGGCTGATGATGAGGAAAGCGTCGATGAGCCAGGAGGTGAGGAGGATTCGTGTGAGGAGGAGGACGAAGGAGGAGTGAGATGAGGAGGTATGGATGTAGAGGAGGAGGAGCAGGAGGAGGAGGAAAAGGAGGAGGACCACGACGACGACGACAACGACGACGACGACGACGACGAACAACTCGACGACGAAGCCGAAGGCGCAGGCGGATCAGGAGCAGGAGGACACGGGAGCACTCTGAGGAGCACCCTCGGCTACACAAAGGATCGTTGGGGATTCTGGACTCCGGCTGTACCTTTTCATCCGGCACGTGCGCTCCGAGTGCAATCGCCTGGAGCATCGCTGGCTGAGTGCGCCTGGGCACCGGCAGGGCGCGCGCTGAAAGTGAGACGGGAGTTCCAGTAGATGGACAATATATTCGAACCCTCACACATTCGAGGGAGACTCTAAATCACCCCCGCGCCCCCGACGTCAGTGTTGATCTCAGAAAGGGCGGTGCTGTGGGGTTCGAGTATCTCTGCCCACTCACGCCCCCCCCCCGTCGCCACGCCATCGCTATTGATTTCGGGGGCTCTGGGGGGGCATCTTGGGCCACAGGGTGCGAATGTACTGTCCGTGTACGGTCCCACGAAGCAGGGCGAGGACACGTCGCCTGCAGCGCGTGCGGCGCAGCAGCCGAGGACCCACGCAGGGCGGAAGAGAAGGCCCGGGCGACGGGCGGCACCGAGGCGCCGCAGGGGCGGCGACGGCGAGCACATGGCCGCCAAACTGGCCAGACGGCCCAGTTCCATCAAGAGAAGTAAGAGCCCCTCCAGGTGCAAGCACCGCTTGAGGAATCTCTCTCTCTCTCTCTGTATACTTACTTATCTATATTACATGAGGGGGTCCGGAAACCGTGAACCCACTTGGAAGGCAAACTTTTACTTCCGCAACCTTCCGCCGACCTTCCGCAGATCTTCTGCTGGCGGAGACGTTGCCGTTTTACTTCCGCCACCTTCCGCCGCCCTTCCGCAGACTTCCGCCGCGGAAGAGATGACACATCCCTCGATCCACGAAGGCGAGGCCCTTTCTGGATCGCTCCAGATAATATGTATTGTAATCTATGTCGTGCAACCTGTGTGGTGCAATATATGTGGTGCAACTCACTTTGGCTGTCTTGAAGCTGTCCTCTCCACTGCTCGTGCAAACATCCCACCCCCCCACCCGCAACTTGGTCGACGACGCCGCCGACAACGACGCCGCCGACGACTACGACGACACCGTCGGCGTCTCCAACAACTTCGACGACGACGACAACGACGACGACAACACCGACGACGACGACGACGGCGACGACGCCGACGCTGACGACGACGACGACGATGACAACGCCGACGACGACGACGCAACCGCCAACGACGACGTCAAAGCCGACGACGACGACGACGGCGACGACGAAGACGACGACGGCGACGACGAAGACGACGACGACGACGTCGCCAACGAAGACGACGACGACGAGGGATGAGGGAGGACGACGACGGCGACGACGACAACGACGAGGGAGGAGGGAAGACGACGACGACGACGACGGCGACGAAATAGGAGGAACAACGACGAAACGCCGACGAAGACGACGAGGGAGGAAGGACGACCACGGCGACAACGACGACGGAAACGACGAGGGAGGAGGGAAGACGACGACGACGACGACGACAGCGACGAAATAGGAGGAACAACGACGAAACACCGACGAAGACGACGAGGGAGGAAGGACGACCACGGCGACAACGACGACGGAAACGACGACGACGCCAACGAAGACGACGAGGAAGGACAGAGGACGACGACGGCGACGACGACGACGAGGAAGGAGGGAGAACGGCGACGACGACGACGCAAGAGAGCGCGCACACGCTTTTGTTGAAATCCGTGTTGCGGAACCTTGTGTTTTTGTATGGTTTTTGGACACACAATTTAGAAATCCTTCCGAAACCGAGGGTTTTTGAAGGATTTCGGCATACGCGCGCGACGACGCGCGCGTCTGCACTTCGTCTCACTTTTGCAGAGGACTCTCGCGACGGCACACGCGCAAGGGCGTTCGACAGATTTCGACATGCGCGCGCGAAGCCCGTTTGGTAGCATTTTGTGAAAATCTTGAAAAATCTATGGTTTTCTTAAGACTTCGCAAGAGCTCGCGCGTAAGCTTTTTTCGCAAATCTGTGTTGCGAAACCCTGTGTTTCTGTATGTGTTTTGGGAAGCTCGATTGCGAAATCCTTCCGACACCGAAGGTTTTTGAAGGATTTCGGCATGCGCGCGCGACGACGCGCGCGTGTGCATTTCGTCAATTTTT